AATTATGTTTTTATATAGCCAGCATTTGTACAATTTAACCAAGTTAGTTCTAGTGTGGCACTGTGGGATAAAGCACTGGACCACAAAGTTGGTTTGAACCCAAGGTCAGCAGTTCAAACTCACCAACTGCTCCTTAGAAATCCTGTATAGGGTCAGTATGAGTCAGACCGACTTAATGGCACTTAACAACAACAACATAAGTAAAAATTAATAAAAAAAGAATATTACAAATAAAGAAAAAGAACAGAAAAATTGATTAAGACTATGTGAAATGCCACCTGAAACCTGCCCTGAGGTAATTTTTTACCCTTAAACCAAAAACATCCAAAGCATTCCCTAAAGCCTTCTTGAAACCACACAATAGTTTGTCTTAAGTAAAAACTGCCTTGGGTATTATGCTCTTTTAAGATCTATCTCTAATGGGATCAAAAGAACCATGACAGTGCAATAGTGAAAGCATGTGGCTGCTAATGCCATGACCAGTGGTTTGAATCTAAACGCTGCCTCAAAAGAGAAAGACTGCTTCTATAAAAATTAGAGTTGCTTCTCCCATGTAAACTATTATATAATTCACAATAAAGCATTAAAAAAAAAAATCTAAAAAAAAAATTACAGTTGCTATGAGTTGGAATTTGACTCATTGGCCATGAATTTGGTATGTGGGATCAAATTGACAACAGCAAATCAAAAGATTAGGTAGTAAATGTGGCGGTGAGTTTATGTAAATGGAGCAGGATAAACTAGAAAAGGGGTTTGAGAATGGTTGCACAATTTAAACAATGTAATCACTGACATGGAACTGTACATGAAGACATTGTTGTAGAAGGGTTAAGCAAAAAGTATTGGTACGAGGGTTACAGTTCATACATTTTGTTGTTAAGTGTTCGAGTTGGTTCAAACTCTATCAGCCCTGTAAAGCGTTTCTGAGGAGCAGCTAGTGAATTTGAGCTGCCAATCTTGAGGCTCACACTGACCTTGTGGTTCAGTGCTTATCTTACAGTGCCACACCAGGACTCCACAGTTAATACATACACAGGTTTATTCCAGACAAATATTATGTTTCTGCAATCAGTGGACAGCTACAGACAAGTCCTCACAGTAATAAACTTGTCTTAGTCTTGTAAGAGTACCTTCAAAAAAAGGTCCAATGAATACAGTGACTTTCAAGGAGATCTGCTGCGCCAATTAAGTTAAGCACAGAGAGATCAGTTCAGAGGTGACTGATCTGTGACTGCTTTATGGAGTTTCTAAGGGGTAATACAACACTCGTCTATCCATCTGTCAAACTGTGGTGTCTTGTGTACTGCTATGATGCTAGCAGCTATGCCACCAGTATTTTAAACACCAGCAGGGTATCCCCATGGTGACAGATTTCAGAGGAGCTTCCAGAGTAAGACACAAGGAAGAAGGAAAGGTGGATATCTCTAAATAGTTAGCCTCTCACTGATAACCTATGAATAACAGCAGAACAATGTCTGATGTAGTGCCAGAAGATAAGCCCCTCACCTTAGAAGGCACTCAAAATATGACTGGGGAACAGTTGCCTGCCTCCACAAAGTAGAGCTGACCTTAATGATGTGGAATGAAGTAAAGCTTTCAGGACAGAACTTTCATTTGCTGATGGGTACAACTCAAAATGAGAAGAAACAGCTTCAAACATCCATGGATAATCAAATGTGAAAGGTACAAAATATGAATCTAGAAAAAATTGGAAATTGCCAAAAACGA